AGCTGATCCTGAACACCTGACCTCAGGTGATCCGCCTGCCTCAGCCTTCCAAAGTGTTGAGATTACAGGAATAAGCCACTGTGCCTGACCTAATTTTTTCTTAATAGGGATCATAATATTAAAGAATTCTTTTACTAACTGGTTTTTAAGAATTCCATAATATTCAAGAAATATGTGATATTCTAGTATTAAATCAGACCAAAAAGAAAACCCCAGTCTAAGTAGACAGGTAAATAAACTGCTAGGTTCAAGAGGTGACCTTTCCATACTCTGCCTACCTACTCAAGCCCTTCTCTGAGTCAGTTATTGGGCATATTCACGACCTCCTTCTCTCTTGCATAATTGGTGATACTTTAGAGTAAGGGGAAGATTAGCATCACCCAGACATAACTCAGACTATTCTAGCCCACCAGGGCCTCCTCCCTCACCTCCCACCTCCACTTCTCTGCTCAAAGATGCTAAGAATCCTACTTGCTTAACTTTATCTGCTAAAGGAAACAGTGGCTAAAGACATGACTAAGCAGGTATTTCTGAGTATTACATTCACTTGTATTAGCTATTATTAAATGAAAAGGAAAAGTTCCGAGATAGATAAGCAGATTATTGTGTATTTTACCCTTGTATCTTTCAATTTACTCACGTGTTTTCACTTTTTATCACAGAAAAAATCCAAAGGGTAACTTCTCATGTTAAATTGTGTCCTCTTTTCTGTAAGTAAGTAGGTTTACTACTAATAATTAGTAAGACAGTAATATTCCTGGCAGTTAGATTGCCCAAGTATTGTTTTCACTAAAGAACTCACTGTATTTGAGCACAATAAAACCCTTATTTTGTTGGAATGTGAATGAACCAGTCCTTCCAGGAGATTCATAACCCTGCTATGGAATAGACAAACCTTGAGGAAAAAGTTAATTGTTCATATATACAAAGAAATTAAGTTGGCCAGACGTGGTGGCTCATACCTGTAATCCCAGCACTTTGGGAGGCCAAGGCAGGAGGAGCACCCGAGGTTGGGAGTTTGAGACCAGCCTGACCAACATAGAGAAACCCTGTCTCTACTGAAAATTCAAAATTAGCCAGGTGTGGTTGTGCATGACTGTAATCCCAGCTACTCAGGAGGCTGAGGCAGGAGAATCACTTGAACCCAGGAGGCAGAGGTTGTGGTGAGCCAACATCACACCATTGCACTCCAGCTTGGGCAACAAGAGTAANAAAAAAAAAAAAAGGAAAAGAAATTAATTCTTCATTTTACCTGTTCTCCAATTTGTCAACTTTCACATTCTATCCTTTTAAATGAGCACAAAGGGGAGGTTTCACATGCATAAACACGTTTACACACATGTGCACACACTGAATAATATTTTACTGTCAGCTGCATCTCTTGCTGCAGATGAAAGAATCAAATTATGTGAATATATTTTACGTTCTTGGCAGTAATTCTGTGGTTTGCATTACAAGATGGTTTATATTATTATCAAATTTAAGCAGTTTATAGGACCCTTTTATAAAGTTATAGTTCTACATTGCTTTTATCTCTTTAATTAGACATGCATCAGTTATGAATTTTATTTCTAATTTTAGTGTTGCTAAACACTATGCACAGGTGTCAATCCTGGCAGGGGTGAAGTAAGCCACTCAAGAAAGTGATTTATCTTGGTTAAGTCAGTGAAGCCTGGCTATACAGTTTGGATTTTATTTTCTGCACATTGTCTTGCTAGAAATTAGAAGAGTTCTTTTTACCATAAATTTCTGACAATTGTGTCATTTTTTTCTTCTCCTTAGGGGAACAGGGTGCTAAAAAGACTTGAAACGAGCTGGCAATCACCATTAACCCCTTCCCTTCTGAACTTCCAGGTCAGGGAGCAGTCCCAAAATGCTTTTTACTCTCATACTAAAGTCCTCCTAGCCCTGTCAGGTTTCCCAACCCACATTTCACAGATGTCACAAGCTTCAATGGTGTGGTTTTTCTTTGTTAAGTTTCTTCAAACGAGTTTCATTAACAACACATAAACTTTCAGAATATTTATTTACAGGATTCCTTATTTAAAATTTCTTGGTTATAAAAACTGAAACAAAGAGAAGAGAAAATTATAATTGTTAGATGTTAAAATGCTTTTAAAACACAGTAAATGCAGTTATCTAAAAACCTAGTGAAGTGGAGTTAACAGTCCAGTAGTCTATTTACATAATCTTTTCATATTTGCGTAGTCTTTTTTTTTTTTATTATTGAGACAGAGTCTTGTTCTGTCACACAGGATGAAGTGCAGTGGCACGATCTCAGCTCACTGCAACCTCCACCTCTCAGGCTCAGGTGATTCTCATGCCTCAGCCTTCTGAATAGCTGGGACTACAGGTGCGCACCAGGGCATATGCCTAATTTTTTATGTGTTTAGTAGAGACAACGTTTCACCATGTTGCCCAGGATGGTCTCGAAATCTTGAGCTCACACAATCCACCCGCCTCAGACTCCCAAAGTGCTAGGACCACAGGCATAAGCCATATTTGTAAAGTCTTAATCAAAATCATTTTAACCCCCACCATTGGAATCAGATAATGTAAGATTGTTATTCTGAAGATACTTAAGCTTATCATAGCTTGCTTTAACTTTTTTTGCTTTTGTTTATTTGCCAAATATGGCACATTTTTGGTATTGTTTAGAAACACTTGTCAATAATTTAAGTTTTTAAAAAAAACTTTCAAAAAGCACAATGTGTTATAAATCAGTCAATTTGCTTTAATTGTCCAAACTGAAAGAGCTAAAAAATAATTAACTTGGAGTGATAAAAGTAATCTATTTTTATTTATCAGGTAAATGTTTGCATTGTAACACAATGTCTTTTTTAGTGAGAAAACAAAAATATATTTTAAAAACATTAGAATATCAACCAGATAATTTTTCTTTAAAATATTTTTATAAATTTAAATGGATACACTAAATTTTTCATACATTTCTCTCCATTTAGAAGATAGAAGAGATTTTAGGGGGACACCATGAGCCATTCTCCAGTAGAAGTCTGTCCAAATTCCAGTTTCTGAATTCGAGGGACAAAATTAGGTTATGTATTTGAGAATGGGGGGAGACACTGCCTAGCTCTGAATGAAAAAGAATCTGAATAATTTTACGCTTTCTTCCAACTAGTTCAGGAAACACACACACTGCCACCTTTGTATTACCAGAATACACATTTGGACAATCATTCAGGAAGGCTTGGCCTCTCTTAGTGAAACCTCTACTCAGCTGCTTGCTTTCCAGCTCTGCACATAAAAATTAAAGTTAATAGTTAAAATGGATGAATGAGAAATCTCAGGAGAATTGGCTGACTTCAGAGTCTCAAAATGGCATCTATTTGACTTCAAAACTCCAAAGTCTTCAAAGTAGACATTGGCTAAGAGGAAGAAGCAAGAAGCTGACTGATACAACTTATTCAAGCACTGAAACTAAAAATGAAAGAGCATGCAACAGGGTACAGGAGAAAGGCTGCTAGGAATCCCTCAACACTAGCCAGAATTTAGTGGGATAATTTGCTAGCAGTGACAAATCAGACTCAAAGCACATAACACAGGCAAATCTAGAAATTACAATCTTTCAGTAGTTGATTAAACAGCCCAATTAGTATCCAAATTTTCCTTTTATCAAAATCCTTTTGTTTCTTTGTTTGCTTTTTGAGACAAGGTCTGGCTCCATCACCCAAGCTGGAGTGCAGTGGCATGATCTCGGCTCACTGCGACCTCCACCTCCTGGGTCCAAGTGATTCTCGTGCCTCAGCCTCCCGAGCAGCTGGGACCACAGGCATGTACCACCATATCCAGTTAACGTTTTGTATTTTTTGTAAAGATGGGGTTGTGCCATTTGCCCAGGCTGGTCTCAAACTCATGAGCTCAAGCAATCCACCTGCCTTGGTCTACCAAAGTGCTGGGATTACAAGTGTGAGAAACTGCACCTGGCCTTTATCAAAATCCTTATTAAGTCAAATTTGTTGCCTAATATGTTATAATACTGTCTTGATCACCACCACCAAAGCATTCTTAAGAGCATACAAGTACAGAACAGAAAAGTCCAGAGAACAATACTAATTTATTTCTACAGAGCTCATTTTGTTCTTCTATGAGAGTGGCATTTTTCAGCATCTTTGACAGTGTCCTTTCTTTCTTAATAAAATGGCCAGAATTAAATAAATATGACTAACACTTTTTCTCCCCTGGACCCAGAGCTAAGGCCTAATGACATTTCAGGGTAGAATATCTTTCAGTGCTATGCACTATGTTGCACCATTCTTTATAGCTTAGAGAACTGGGATCTTCAAATCAGCATCTTAAGTGGAATTTTGTAGCCTGCATTTTTAAAACACCCACTGCCTTCCTATCCATTTACTGTACACGCGTGTGTGTGCACGTGTGTGTGTTATGACTGGAAGGAGATATCAAATATCTTCCTTTAAAATAGTACTATCCAATAGAAACAGAATGCAAGCCACGTATGTAATTGTAAATTTTCTAGTAGCCGCATTAAAAAAGTAAAAAAGAAACAGGTGAAATTAATCTAAACAATATATCTTACTTAGTCCAATATATCAAAAATATCATTTCAGCATGTAACTAATATACAAAGTTATTAATGAGGTTTTTTCTTGTTTTTTTTTTTGTTGTTGTTGTTCTGTATACTTGAAATCCAGTATAGATTTTACACTTCCAGCACATCTTGATTTGGGCTAACCACATTTCAACTGCTCAGTAGCCACATGTAGCTAATGACTACTGGATTGGACAGCCCATTTGTAAGACAGGCACTTCTTTGTACAGCAACATCTCATTTTAAATGCCTAGCTTCTGATATCTTAGCTCTCAGTTTGAACATGTTTCCCTTTACAGAAGAAATCCATACATATAAATATTTCATGCTAGATTCTAACACATACACACACTCATTTAACATCTGGGTTTTAACAACCTATCCTGACCTTCTTCTAAATAAACCTGAAAAATAAAATATTTCCTCTCACCAGCATTTTCTGAAGTAACATGTGAGCCTGTTATCTTGCATATTAACTGGTGACCGTATTTAGTGCTGTCAGAGCTGCTGACTCATTGCCCATGAATGGCCCCGCTGCCAGTGGTGACTGTTTGACAGAATGCCAGTATTGGCTGCCTACAGCTGCTGAAAAGCTGACCTTGTAACAACATCCACATTCTTTTGGTTGCTTTTGCTGACATACTCTCAACTCAAAAACTGTTTTCAAACAAAAGTATAATGAAGTATTGAGCTTCTAAAAGCAATTGTATTTCAGTTCTTTAAATTATCTGAGTGTATCAAGGGAGGCAGAAGGCAAAGAAATGAGTATACAACAGAGGGAACCATGCTTGCAAGTTGGCATTTGAGCTACAGGCATATAATACTTGGGTACAGTGTTCTAAGACAGCATGGGCATCCAAATGAAGCAAAGCTGTCTAAACTAAAAATAAAATTCTAAGCCCCCAACCATCTGAATGGACCCCTCCTCTCAGCCAAGGGTATTCCAAAGTTAATCTGAAAAACTAGTTCAGGTCATAAGACCTGAACTAGTAAGAGGAAGTGGGGGGGGTCAGACATGCCTCCTTATATTTTCCTCCCTTTGGAATTCAGGCACAACTGACCAGTATTAACATTCAAACAGAGATCTTAAAACTTTTTGTAGCAATAGGTCACCAAATTCCAGCCTTATCTAGTATAGCATCACCTGACAGACAGCAGGCCCTGAAAGATATCAAAGTATTTTACTCTGAAATATATTTCTTTGACACATTTTGAAATAGCCCTGCAAAACTATCACTTGTGGGGAAAATCTGCATTCTGTAGAGAATCCTCTTCCCTTTGTAAGTCTTTTTTCTGATCCAGAAGAGAGTCAACTAAGTATGGCACCTTTTTAAGTCTGATAAGAAACATTTACAATCTAATCTCTCCAAGCCCAGGATTGGAGGCTTCATCTGCACAATAAGAACCTTGGTCTCCAAAACCCCTTATCTTAGCCCGGACATTCCCTAATGTTGATTACAGGTCTTTAAACAATAACTTAACACTTCCAACCAATTGCCAGTTAGAAATTCTTTGAATCTACCTATGACTTTGAAGCTCCCCACCCCTGCTTTGAGTTGTCCCATTTTTCCTGACCCAACCAATGTACATCTTACATGTATTGATTAATGTCTTATGTCTTCCTAAAATGTATAAAACTAAGCTGTAGCCTGACTACTTTGGGCACATGTTATCAGGAGACAGGGCTGTGTCACTGACCATTGCCCACTCATATTTGGCTCAAAATTTATCTTTTCAAATGTTTTTCAGAGTTTGGCTATTTTGTCAACAACTATTATGATATTTATTTTTTAACTTTCTCAGTATCATTTATTAGTTCTGTATTACTGACCTATTTGAAATTCTGTTTATTTGCAAAATGTATTCCATTCTCTACCCTCAAAACTCTTTCCCCAAGTGAAGCATCTAAACAAAGAATATGATATGCTTTCCATTAATTAATAAGAGCTAAGATACTATTAAATACTTAAAACAGGGATCAAATTAGCAGTACTTGATACTGCTCTGGCTAATGGATACATTAATCATTCACACTATACTCAACTTTACACATAAAACTTAGTGTAAGCCTTCCAGCTGAAGTATGTACTGATGTTTTTCTGCTTTCTGTTACAAGTTTTAATATTCTTCTCTTTTCCTGGTGACTAGGTCTGGTATTCGTGGGACTTCTAAATCCCTACTTGGGCTGATTTCCCTGCTCCCCCTTTCTGGCCTTTTTTTTTTTTTTTTTTTACCCCAGAGTCTAATCTTCACCACTAGTAAAATTCCTTTGTGGTTCACATCTCACACATAATAGCCAGAGTCTGTTTTGCTAATTTTAATGAGATGAAGGATGAGTTTTACATAGATAAGTTTTCAATAAACAGGATCAATGAGCATTCAGCTAGTTGTTTTGGCATATTTTCACCACCAGAGGGAGATAAAGCCACCTCTCTATCCACTGTTCCCCTCTCTTTGCCCCAAAATTGGAGAGATGACAGAGGTAAATGCAGAGGATAATGGTGAGTGAGATCATGGAGGGAAATTAAGTTATATATTTGGAGAAATAAAAAATGTGGCAGCTTGGAAACCCTGCCAACATATTTTGTGTGGGCTACCCAGTTTGGGACAACATTCATAAATTGGAAAATTTCACATAAATATCAGGATTTCCACCCTGACCTTGAAAATAGGAAGATGTGGCCACACTGTATCCATGCCTCTGTGTGGCAGTCAGAGGGGGCTTCTCTTTATAAACAGGGCACACACTCCTCAACTCTGTCACTATCACTCCCTATTTTTCTAACACTGAGATTAAATGGAAGGTGTTACTTATTATCAAGCTTGCATCATTTTGTTGTTGCTGTTAAGAACCGGTTTTTTTTCTTTTTGTACTCAGGTCAAAGATGGTAAAAAGAATAACATAGCAAGTAAGCCTCGTATAATTTCAAGGAAAACGAGAGAGAACATATTTCTTGGAGACAGTAAAAAATGTTCATTAGGGTAAAATATGCAGGCACAATGTGACTGGTCTCCTTGTCTTACAATTACCTATTTCCATTATTTATGTCAGCTAGATGTCCCTATGAGCTTAGAGTTGTATAGCATTCACTCAGTCTCTGCCAAGTGCTTGCTTATTGCCAAGTGCTTGCTTGTGAGAGTGCACATACCCAAACACCTCACCCTTTACTTTCAAGGCCATCTTCTTGAATTCAATTTTCCACATAAAGTGGTAAAATCTGGAGGGCTGAAATTAGGGCATGAGAAAATGTTCCAGGAGAGACATCTCTTGAGTGTTTGTTCTAGGCCCAAGGCAAAAGGGGACCCAGTGACTCCTTGTGATCCAGCTTTCTGGTTGTAGCATAAATATTATTAAATACCTGCTTCCCCAGCATGATGTGACAGGAAGATGATCAGGGACTGGGCGATTCTGGGACCCAGTCAAATACCATTTCTCAGTTATCCCCACTAACCAATGACTGAGAAACGTCTCTTATGACTGACTACCCAAGGATTTGCAAAATTGAAATGTGAGGGACAAAATCTCAATCTTAATACAGCAGGAAAAACATATCTGCACGTAGCTTGTACTCACAAGAATCATAGAACTAAAATTTGGATTTAGGTAGGATAAATTCCAACGCACAGTTGATATTATGATTTTCTCATAGCATTGCTTCTTGATCTGAAAAAGAAATGATAATATAAATATTAGTAATGATAGTTAACATCTATTGAGTTGAAAGTTGTCAGGCACTGTACTAAGTGATCTCCTTTAACCCTGAGGAAAAACTCCGTTATTAGTTCTTCCTAATCCTTAGGAGCAACTCTTTTAGACGTGTGAAAAATGGGTCTTGGAGTGGTTAAGTAATTTGCCCCATATACATAGACATTAAATCAGCAAAGAGGTGAGATTTATTAAGGTGGCTGTGTATATTAGGTGAGATATATTAAGGTGCTTGAGTCAAGACTCTGTTCAACCTCAGAGTTTTGTCTCCACCATTTTAATATATCCCCTTCCATTTAGGACAGTGGTTCTCAAAATGAAGACACTTTCATGGGATTCTTGAGATAAAAACTATTTTAATAACAATTCTAACATATTATTTGCCTTATTCACTATGTGGGCATTTTGCACCATTACGATGGTGTAAAAGTAACAGTAAGTAAAACTGCTGGAACCTCATTACTAGATGTTGAAGGCCATGGCACCAAGCTCTACTGGTAGTTATATTTTTTTACTCCCATGTACTTCCGGTGAAGAACAAAGTAAGCAACAGCATGTTATTAAGTCTTGGAACTATAAATGATATCATTTTATCTATTTATTTTTATTTTTTTATTTTTTTGAGACAGGGTCTCAGTCTGTTACCCAAGCTGGAGTTCATTGGCACGATCCTGGCTCACTGCAGCCTTGACTCCCTGGGCTCAAGCAATCCTCCTGCCTTAGCTTCCTGAGTAGCTGGGACTACATACAGGTGCATGCCACCACACCAGGATGATGTTTTCTTTTTTTGTAAAGACAAGGTCTTGGTATGTCTTGCTATGCCCAGGCTGGTCTTGAACTCCCAGGCTCAAGCGATACTCCTGCCTTGGCCTCCCAAAGTGTTGGAATTATAAGCATGAGCCACTGTGCCAGGCAACGTCCTTTTAATAGTGCAAGGAAATGTAAGTACACATAAAGCACTTTTGAAATGTGTTGAAGTGCAATAGTTATCTCCAAGTATTGTTCAAGGTAAAAGTGGAACTAGTCAGTTCTTTCATAGAACATTTTTATCTGAAAGAACAATGAGCAGACAAGCTATGATTATTTCAGGAGGGGTATTTGGCAAATATTTTTTGAAAACGAATGAAGTAAGCTTGTCACTTCAGAGAAAACAACTGATAGAAATTTCTGACAAAGATAAATTTCAAACTCTCAAGTAGAAATTAGAATTTTGAAAAGCCTGCATCTGCCACTATAAGTTTGACAGCTTCTCAATACCTTTCTGATGAGATGTGGTGATACTAACAAAAGTAATTTTTTGTTATCAAAAATAAAATATCAACATTTGAAAGATCTGCTTTCTAAGTGAGCCAACATTTTCCAAATGACCAGTTCATTTTGTTATAAAATTATATATAGATTTTTAAAAAAACTATATTAAGTATGAGACAGATAATGGATTTTATGGTAATAGATTCTATGAAGTTAATTGATATGTTTCAGATTCCACATTCCATTTTTAAGGAATAATTGCTTGTTGAATTTTACTGTTTTATCAAGAAAACTGTCTATAATAATCTGAAAGGCTATGAAAAGACTCTACCATTTCAAACTACATATCTTTGTGAGATTGGAGTTTCTTCATATTTGCCAACCAAAACATTGCAACAGATTAAATGCAGAAGCAGATACATAAATCTGGCTATCTTCCGTTAAGCCAGACATTAGGGGATTTCCAAAAAAATGTAAAACCATGCTTAATTTATTGCCAAAATTTTGTTTCAGAAAATATTTCTGTTTTATTCAAAATCTATATATTTATGTCACATGTAATGGGTTTATC